TAGACTATGCCTAAGCCACAATACAAGTCCTGAGCTTTCCAATGATGATGCATTCGTCTCCAGTTAAGTCATGACTTATACAAACGGCTTTCAGGCGTTTTTTTCTAAGTAGAAGAAGATTGACATTTCTTCAAGACTTCGACATCATTCTTCGCCACTACTTTGCAGAAAAAAATTGTTTAACCGCCAGCTATCAAGGTTAAATGCTAATTATGATATTCCGAAAAAGTCAACTTGACTTGAGATGTATTTATTTTTTAAACAAATCAATGAACATTTTTCAAAATTCAAAATAAACCGTACAGCATTTGTTAGCAAAATGGCGGTAATTTCGTCACTCTTTCGAGTTAGCTTTGCAGCGAAACCTTCATAATTTCTTACTGGTTGTTCTTAAGCTCTAAAAATATAGCCTAAGCCACGGAGGATAACTTTAAGAATACGTTGGTTGTTATTGCTCAATTAGTCTCTTTTTGTAGAGAACAAACTTTGTTTTGAAAATCTATTGTTTATTGTTGTAAATCGGCGAAAAACTCGCAAATGTTTGAAATCCCATTAAACTTATCTTGAATTTATTCTACTTGTTGTTGTGTCTGTTTATATTTTCTTCTCTTATACTTGAAAATGTGAATGAAATTCGTTTTTCCTTGAATTAAAACAGCGATTAGTCTTTTTTATCGCTATTTTTGAGCTCAAATCACCCCAAGGCGCGTTGTATTTTCATGTTTGTTTTTGACAAGCTTCCACGAGCTTCGACAGCGATGTACGAGTTGTATTCGCGTGGTCCTGGAACCCAGTGATATTTGCCACAGACCAGAGTTATTTCGGAGGAAGAATATGTTTTTCATGTGCTTGACCACACAAAGACCAGTAAACCAGGACAGCCTTACTATAAACCTAAGATTATTCCTTATAACATTAATCCAAATATTTGTCCATTAGCATGTCTTATTGAATACATAAAAAGAACAAAGCCTCTCAGAGGAAGCAATACCAAGTTATTCATTAGTTATGTAAAACCGTTTAAGCCCGTCTCTAGAGACACGATTTCCAGATGGACAAACACTGTCCTTGATCAAAGTGGGGTCGATACTAACGTTTATAAGGCACATAGTACTAGGGCAGCGTCGACCTCAAAGGCTACAAGAGGAAATGTGCCAATCGATCAAGTAATGGCCAATGCTGGATGGAAGTCTGCACAAACGTTTTTTAAATTTTATAATAAGCCTCTTGAATCTAGTGCGAGTGTTACGGATGTTGTTCTTAAGATTTGAAGCTATATCTACATATTTAGAAGAGCTATAGTATTCATGTACATTGTTCAAGTTTGAGTAGTTCTTTTATTTTTGGGAAATAAATCACCACTTCGTGTATAACATCGTGTTTCTTTGGTTAACAAGACACAAATACATGTTATAGTGCTTGTTGTATCAGTGGCTTTAAAGTCTCATGGGATCACCTGACTTCCTGTCATGTGATAGAATTGGAGAATTAAACGAGACTTACCTGTAAGTTGAAGTTTGATTGAGATTCTATCACATGACATTGGAAGGCAGGAGATCACATGAGATAGCACAGCGCTTGCGCAAGTCATTCATAAAACCCTGCTTGTTGTATCAGTATAAAAATCCAAACATATACCCCAGCATTATAACCAAGGGCGGGAGAGGAGGGCATGTGATCTCCTGCCTTCCAATGTCATGTGATAGAATCTCAATCAAACTTCAACTTACAGGTAAGTCTCGTTTAATTCTCCAATTCTATCACATGACAGGAAGTCAGGTGATCCCATGAGACTTTAAAGCCACTGATACAACAAGCACTATAACATGTATTTGTGTCTTGTTAACCAAAGAAACACGATGTTATACACGAAGTGGTGATTTATTTCCCAAAAATAAAAGAACTACTCAAACTTGAACAATGTACATGAATACTATAGCTCCTCTAAATATGTAGATATAGCTTCAAATCTTAAGAACAACATCCGTAACACTCGCACTAGATTCAAGAGGCTTATTATAAAATTTAAAAAAGGTTTGTGCAGACTTCCATCCAGCATTGGCCATTACTTGATCGATTGGCACATTTCCTCTTGTAGCCTTTGAGGTCGACGCTGCCCTAGTACTATGTGCCTTATAAACGTTAGTATCGACCCCACTTTGATCAAGGACAGTGTTTGTCCATCTGGAAATCGTGTCTCTAAAAATCAACATATACGTATATTTATCGATAACACTACAGCTGTATCCTACATTAACAATATGGGAGGGTCCAAATCTGTTGTGCTTAACTCCCTTGCMATTAAAGTGTGGGAATGGTGTATCGCAAGGAACCTTTGGGTTTCAGCAGTGCATATCGCTGGAAAACTAAACATCGAAGCMGATGAAAAGTCGCGGAAGTTTAATGACAAACATGAGTGGAAAATTAACGAACAATGTTTTAACGACATTTTAGAACTATTTCCTAAAATTAACATTGACATGTTTGCTAGCCGGCTAAATAATATGCTTGACGCATATTGCTCATGGAAGCCGGATCCTGGTAGTAGACATGTAGATGCGTTTTCAATTAATTGGAGTAACTACGAATTTTATGCTTTTCCTCCATTCAGCCTCATCCCSAAGTGCCTATCCAAGATAACTCAAGACAAAGCTCGCGGAATACTAATTGCACCGTTATGGCCAACCCAGACATGGTTTCCTACACTATTACAGCACCTATATCAACAACCGTGGATCTACGCGCCAAGAATGGATCTACTGCGACACCCGTCACACAACAAACCACATCCACTGTGTCGAAAACTATGTCTGATGGTATGTCCCTTGTCAGGGAACACTACGGAAACTTGGGCATTCCAACAAACATTACCGAAGTTCTCATGGCCTCTTGGAGRAAATCGACTCAAAAACAGTATGATACGTAACTCCGGCGGTGGATGGCATTTTGTAGTCAAAGAGAGATTAATCACCATTCACCAACGGTAAACGAAACCCTTGAATTCCTCATGAAACTGTATCAAGGTCTCAGTTACTCAACACTTAACACTGCGCGCT